ATCCACAAAAAAACATTTCGTAACCCGTTCTAGAAGGCCTTTGTTGGGGGCAGCGTTTTACCGCCGTCTGCAACAACACAGAAATTCGAATATTASCCAATTGCAACCTTCACCATTTTTATGCCCTTTACACATGTATTGTTAAAAATCAACCAAAAAAATTTTGAACGTCGCACTTATTATTGCCAAAAAATTATTATTTATACAAAAATTAGAGCAGCGGCTTCTCCGAGCGTTTTGTGAATAATAAGTATCACAATTGTTCGACCAGCAGCGACTTTCGTGCTTTAACACAAAGAAAAAAAAATATGCAATAAAAATTACAAAAACCGAAAGTGAGGTTAGTTTGAGAAGGGCCGTTTTACATTATTTTTTATGTTCCGTGTCCGCAATTGTATCACAAAAAACACATCAACCGATAATTATGATTACTTCCAGAATATTCAAACAATTATTCAGAATAAATTTCAGCGTCACATTAAAAAAAAATCTTTTTTTAGAAAAATTTATCCTGTAGAAGGCTATGACTTGGTTCTAAAATAATTTCACCGCGTTCTTGAGGCTAAATTTTCTCAATCATTTTCATAAAAAAACTTTGTTACATTTAAAATCACACATTTACTAACCTTTCTTGTGGGACTCCAATCGTAATTTTCACACATTTTCACACTTTTACCACAGGAAAACAACATTATTTATTGACACAATCGAAGCACAAAATGAACTGGTTTTATGGCGTGAAAATGCTGGCTTCTCATTGGCTACTCAGACAGGATAGTCGACTTGATGCAACGAAAAGCTCAAAATCGACAAATTTTGATTCCAAATGAGGTGAGATGCTTATTTAAAAAATTCGTTCGGACTCGAGGACACACGATTTTTGAAAAATGATTTTTCTGTACCCGTAAAATTTTCTGCTGGATTCGAATTCGGAAGTCGTTTTTTGATTTGAAGTTGCCTTCACTGCGAAAAAGACGTTTTTGTGGCAAAATTAGTAAACCTAAAATTGAGCAATTTTTGTGTTTACACCCCTGTATCTTCTCTCTGGATGTAGCTAGAAAATTGATTTTTTTATCAAAATGTTCCTTAATTAATGTAGATTGCAACGCATTTATCAGGATTTAGTTTCGATAAAAGGGAACTGAGAAAATTACAGTTTTCTTGTAACGTGTCAAATTTGTGTAGTAAAATTTTTGAGAAGCGAGAATTTTTTTTATTTTACGAAATAGACCCCTACATGATCGACATGAAATGAAGCCAATACTTCAAATAAGTTTTTGGTGCAAAAACAATTTTGATGGGTGTAATACAAATTCGAAAATTGCAATTTCAAAATCTGAATCTGAATAAGATTTTGAAAGTTACCAAAACATACTTGGTTTTTCAAAACTAAAATTATGACAGAAATTAGGTTTTAACCAAGCAGGGCTTAAACCAAAATAATTAAAATTTAAATCAGATTTTGAAATTGCAATTGTCCCATTTGTATTACACCTGTCAAAATGATTTTTGCACCAAAAACTTATTTGAAGTATTGGTTTCATTTCATCTCGATCATGTAGGGGTCTATCTCGTAAAATAAAAAAAATTCTCGCATCTCAAAAATTTTACTACACAAATTTGACACGTTACAAGAAAACTGCAAGTTTCTCAGTTCCCTTTTATCGAAACTAAATTCTGGTAAATGCGTTGCAATCTACATTAATTAAGGAACATTTTGATAAAAAAATCAATTTTCTAGCTACATCTAGAGAGAAGATACAGGGGTGTAAACTCAAAAATTGCTCAATTTTAGGTTTTCTAATTTTGTCAAAAAAACGTCTTTTTCGCAGTAAAGGCAATTTCAAATCAAAAAACGACTTCCGGATTTGAATCCAGCAGAAAATTTTACGGGTACCTAAAAATCAGTTTTCAAAAATCGTGTGTCCTCGAGTCCGAACGAATTTTTTAAATAAGCATATTTTGGGGTGCCTGCTCCCCGACTAAATCAACAACAACCGATAATGCGAAAAATTTGACGAATTTCGTGTTAGATGACAGTCGAATTACTTAAATTTCGTACTGTAAATTTTGGATACAGAAACAACAATCTGGAATCATTGGTTAAATAATAAATAAAAAATCAGTCTGATTTGTGCTATCGTTGTGTAAACAATGTTTTTTTGGGTGGTGTTAAAATGGGGGTTTGTGTTGTTAATTGACAATGTTTTGGTGTGAATTTACAACAAATTACTCAAATTCGGGCGGTAGTCCACCACTAAATTTTTAGAAAAATTCTGGAATTCTGTAACAATTTTTAATTGTATTTTAATTTTGTGAATTTTTTTTTTCATAATATGTTAAAGAACTGTTAAAAATAAAATTCTTTGATTTTCGAAATAAACAAAAAAGAAAAAGAAAAATTGGCCGATGATTTTAAAATTTTGTATACGGGCCTAGATGTTAATTCTAAACAATTTTTAACTAAAAAGCAACTATTTTGGAGTACTTAGTACACCGGGAAGGAGACCCACAGCGCGCGAGTACCAGATTTTGAAATTGCAATTTTCGCATTTGCATTACACCTATCAAAATGATTTTTGCACCAAAAACTTATTTGAAGTATTGGCTTCATTTCATCTCGATCATGTAGGGGTCTATCTCGTAAAATAAAAAAAATTCTCGCATCTCAAAAATTTTACTATACAAATTTGACACGTTACAAGAAAACTGTAATTTTCTCAGTTCTCTTTTATCGAAACTAAATCCTGATAAATGCGTTGCAATCTACATTAATTAAGAAACATTTTGATAAAAAAATCAATTTTCTAGCTACATCTAGAGAGAAGAGAAGCGCAATTTTATGTTTTATAAATTTTTCACAAAAACGTCTTTTTCGCAGTGAAGGCAATTTCAAATGAAAAAACGACTTCCGGATTCACATCCAGCAGAAAATTTTACATAAGAATCAATTTTTAAAAATCGTGTGTCCTTGAGTCCGGACGGCCATCAATGACGGAGAAATTCAAATAAATCACACTTGAGAAAAAATTATCGATTGAAAAAATTCTAAAAACTTCAACTTCAATACGATAAAGAAACGCCTTGTAATGTTTTATTTTTTAAAAGTTTTGAATGGTGTTGGTCAAAGTGACCTTGAATGGAGTTGAAACTCAGCAGATAACTGATTAATTTTTTTTTTTTGATGAAAAACAGCTGGACACAATGGATCAGTACAAAATTGTTAATTAATTTAATTGTTAATTGATTGGCCAAAATTATAGTTTAGCAAGTTGACAAAGTCAACTAAACTTTCAGACGTTTCAGTCGTCAAAAATTGACACAATAAATCCACAACATGGCCCACGACCACGACAAAGATCAAGGAAATATCAGTCCGACAACATCCGACTCGAGTTTAAGATTACCAACCAAAGTCTGAAACGGCTGAAATTCTTGTGGTTGCGCCTGTAAATTTACAATTTTCAGGTTCCAAGCAATGCTACTGATGATGCATGGGCAAACCAAGACACGATTCATTATTTATCTCCCGTCACAACGGCGCGAACCCTGTGTGAGGGAGATTTCGATTATGGGGCTTTTGCGCCCTTTTATGGCAAAATGAGTTTGCCGCCGTATTCCACCGAGTCTTCGTTGTCGTGTGAAGAAGCGCGGTTGCAAAGAACGGTGGCGATTATCAAACCGGAAGCAATGGTTTATAAGGATGTTGTGCTGAAAGCTATCGCTGATAAAGGCTTCAGTATTGTCAATGTGAGTGGAAAATTATTTTGCAAACTAAAAAATTCCTAGGTTTTTGGGTAAGGGCTTCAAAAAACTACAATTTTTTAACTTTGTTTCAGCAAAACGTAGCTTTACTTTGTTATATATTATTCAATATCTCAAAAACGATTATTCGTAAAGCATTTTAACCTGTTTTATTACGTCTAGAAGACTATAATTCAAGCGTTTTTGCGACTTAAAATAAATCGATAATTTTTACGACTCACTTTCAAGAAAAAAAAAACTCAAAAAATTCAATTTTTCTTAAACACGTCTTGACGATTTATGCACTTTTTTGAGTCTCTAGGACTAGAACCATATTTTCAATAGGTGCATAAACAAAAAATTTAATAAATTAATCGTCTTTAAATAAATAAAAAAACATAAAAAGCCTTTTTTCAAATTTTCTGTACATTTTTTGGTATAGTTTGCAGGATTTGAGAACAATTACACGAAAAAACAATTTCTTCTTATCTATTCTTGTTGAATTAAATGTAATATAATTTTTAGTATAGTATAAAAAGAAATCAATAAATAACAGTAAAAAAATACAAAAGTGGTTAATGTATACACTAAAAAGTGTAAAAAAATAGTACATGTTCAAAGTCATTAAGAAAAATAAAAAAAATAAAAAAATAGGACTCAATTTAAAAAAAATATTTTTTCTAAAATCCCCATCAATCCAGTGCTGAATTTAGTGAGGAGGTATCAACTTTTAATTAATGCATTTAATTTAAAATGAGTAAGATTAAGGTATGCAAAAGCTGAATGATCTCAAAAATTAGTCACTATTGTTTCTTCATTTTTTTACAAATTTTCAATAATATCAAACTTTTTTTTTTAATTTCTTCGATCTTTGTTTCAATTTCAATTTTTTTTCTGTACATTTGTTGGTATAGCTTGCAGGATTTGAGAACAATTACAAGAAAGAACAATTTCTTCTTATTTATTCTTGTTGAATTAAATATAATATAATTTTTAATATAGTATAAAAAAATCAATAAATAACAGTAAAAAAATACAAAAGTGGTTAATGTATACACTAAAAAGTGTAAAAAATAGTACATGTTCAAAGTCATTAAGAAAAATAAAAAAATAGGTCTCAATAAATGATTTTTTTTTAATCTCCATCAATCCAGTGCTGAATTTAGTGAAGGGGTATCAACTTTTAATTAATGCATTTAATTTAAAATGAGTAAAATTAAGGTATGCAAAAGCTGAATGATCTCAAAAATTAGTCACTATTGTTTCTTGATTTTTTTACAAATTCTCAATAATATCAAACTTTTTTTTTATTTTTTCGATATTTTTTCAAAAATATATAAAATTGTAATGAAAAAAAGATGTTTCTTTCATTTTGATAAAAATTACATAATGTCTAGAAACAATTAATTCCTTTAATTCTTTGTAAAATTTTGATCATTCGATCCAAGGAAAAAGTTTGATAGATCGATTTAAAAATTTACAGAGATATTGGAGGTACAAAAAGCTATAAAAAAAATCCGGACACATTAGTTTTCTCTTTAATAGGCGGTATTTTTATTAAAACTACAAAAAAAAATATTTTTTTTCTTTTCGTTAAATCAGTGTAGAGTAACATTTATTTTTCAAAAAATCGTTAAAACATCTTGTAGGTAGTTTAATCCAGTTTTTTAAACTATCCTTACATTCTCTGTGCGGTCATTGGTTGCTGAGATATTAATGGTCAAAGACAAAAAAATCCTTTTTCATTAAGACTCAAATAACTCAGCTACAAATTGACGTAAAAAGAACATAAAAAAAAGCAAACTAAAGCTGATGAATGAACAAGCTGTCTAGCCCATGCACTAATAAAAATTTTCCCAAGTCCGAGGACTAAAAAAAATTTAAAAAAAAATACGATTTTTTCTCTCCCGCTATTTCTTCGAATTGCGTAATAACCGTAGCTCAGAAATTTTTTTGACAAAAGATCTCAAGACTTCAAAATCGAGTTTTTTAATATAAATACGACCATTTTTCATTAAGTTACAGTCTTTCATAATCACCAAAAAATTAAAAAAAAATTTTTGTTTCCTTAATTTTTTAGAATATAAAAAAATTATGTAGAATGTGTTGTCGATTTGAAGTATTTCAGATAATAAGAAATCTTTTTTCAAAGAATTTTTCACTGAAAAATCACAGTCATTTGAAAAATGGAAAAACAAAACGACAAACAATGCATAATAGAAAATTCCAAAATTATTAAGAGTTTTTGCGACTAGAACTCAGACTCGAACATACTGTATAGTAGGTAGAAAAATTTTTAAAAAGTTATTGAAAACATTTTATTCAGATATCGCTTAGTTTTCGGAGACAGACTAAACCTAGTTATTGATAATGATGATAAATTGCAATATTAAAAAACGAAAGTTGGCCAAATCATGTTTAATTAAGTGTTCACCTCGCATAACGCACCTCCTAATTGTCCATCCCATCAAAGATTTATCACTACTTTCACAATCATTCTTAAATAATAACCGTTTTAAGTTTTGATCACGTTACTAAACAATTACTTTATTCGATTATTGCAAAAAAATTGTGTGAAAGTCTTGATGTATTCCGAAGCAGATCTCGAAATCGATAATTAAACGAACTAAAAGCTAATTAACTTTTGATCTCATCTTTGTGGTTTTATCTCCAATCTAGCAACGAACGCTGCACTTAACGCCTGAACAAGTGGCTGAAATTTATGAACAACACTATGGGTGTCCTTCGTTCCCGAATATGGTAGTGTCGATGAGTCTGGGGCCGTGTTTGGTGCTGTCCTTGGCGGGTATGAATTCGATCGAAAAATGGAAATCGTTGGTAGGCCCATATAAAACCCTCCAAGCTGAGTGGTTTTTACCACTGAATGTGAGGAAGAGGTTTGAGGTGCATGTGGATATTCCTGATGCCTTGCATGCCTCCGAAAACGCCAAGGATGCTACCAGAGAAAATAGATATTTTTATCCTGACAGTATGTAAACTTGACTTTTTTCGAAAATTCGACCAATGATCGTTTTTTTTAAGGTATTTTGGAACCCATCATTTGCGACCAGTACAAAGTGGAAGATTATTGCAACTTGTACATTAATCCAACTTTGTTAAAAGGATTGGTTGAACTTGTGAGGAAAAAACCGGTTGATCCTATAATTTTTCTAGCAGAGTGGCTGCTTATGAACAACCCATTTCAACCCCAAGTGCCATATAAATACGCAACAGCTCCCACATAAATAAAACAGCCCCAAAATCGCATTTATTTTGCCTAAAAATCGAATTTTTGACACTTTTTCTAAATTCACTGTAAAGCAGGCTTTAACGTCAAACTTGACTTTTCAAAATCAGTAACATTTCTTTGAATCTAAAGGCCGTTTCACATTTAATGTCAGTGGAATGACCTTGCTGCTATTTTTTTTTATAAAAACTAAGTCTACCGTTTTTGAAAAAAACAATTTGAAAAAAAAAACGTATATTTTGTAACTATAAACACTGTTACAAAGGAATATAAAAACGTTCAAACTGTTCTCATATAAATACAACAGCCCCAAAATCTAATTTATTTTGTCAAAAAATCTAATTTTTTACTCTTTCTGAAAATTCACTGTAAAGCAAGCCTTAACGTCAAATTTGACTTTTCAAAACCTCCAAAATGTCAAAATTAGCGACTTAAATTGTCTGTCTAAGTACCGTTTTACACTGTTTTGTGCAAGAATAAATTCTAAAAAGCTTTTAAATGAACAAACAACAAAGAAATATCAATTATTTTGTGATTATTTGTCACCATCTGGGCAAAAAAATAAAACGGCAAATTTTTGACATTTTCTGAAAATTCATTCTAAAGCATATTTTAACGTCAAATTTGACTTTTCAAAACCTCCAAAATGTCAAAATTAGTGACATTTAATTGTCTGTCTAAGGACCGTTTTACACTTAGTCAACAGAATGACCTTATGTGCCATTTTTTTGTACAAGAATAAATTGCTAAAATCTTTTAAATGAAAAAACAACAAAAAAAATATCAATTATTTTGTGATTATTTGTCACCGTGCTGGACAAAAAAATGAGACGTCAAAGTTTTGACATTTAAAAATTCACTGTAAAGCAAGTTTTAACGTCAAACTTGACTTTTCAAAACGTCAAAATCAGTGACATTTCCTTGACTCTCACACTCAATGTCAATAGAATAACCTTGCTGTTGTAAAAACTAAGTCTCCTAAATAATATAAAGGGTTTAATTGAAAAAAACAATTTGAAAAAGAAATAACATATATTTTGTAACTAAAAACACTGTTATCATTTCACAGTAAGGTCAACAAAAGGAAAAAAACGTTCAAACTGCTCCCATATAAATAAAACAGCCCCAAAATCTAATTTATTTTGTAAAAAAATCGAATTTTTTACACTTTCTAAAAATTCACTGTAAAGCAGGCTTTAACGTCAAATTTGACTTTTTAAAACCTCCAAAATGTCAAAATTAGTGACCTTGCTGTTCCATTTTTTTTGTACAAGATTAAATTCTTCAAAGCTTTTAAATAAAAAAAACAACAAAGAAACATCAATTATTTTGTGATTATTTGTCACCATGCTGGACAAGAAAATGACATGTCAAGTTTTTTAAATTTTCTAAAAATTACTGTAAAGCAGACTTTAACGTCAAATTTGACTTTTCAAAACTTCCAAAATATCAAAATTAGTGACATTAAATTGTGTCTAAGGATGGTTTTACACTTTTTTGTGCAAGAATTGTTATATATGAATCGAATTCGATGTTTTTGAAGTCTGAATATTCATCTAGAAAGCTTTTAAATAAAAAAACAACAAAGAAATAACAATTATTTTGTGATTATTTGTCACCATCTGGACAAAAAAATGAGTCGTCAAACTTTTGACATTTTCTAAAAATTCATTCTAAAGCAGATTTTAGCGTCAAAATTGACTTTTCAAAACGTCAAAATGAGTGTCACAATACTGTTCAATTTTTTTTTGTAAATATTAAGTATTATAATAGTAAAAGAGGTTTAATTGAAAGAACAATTTGAAAAAGAAATATCATTTATTTTGTAACTAAAAACACTGTTACAAGTCATTTCTTATCACAGTTTCCATTTCACAGTATGGCCACCAAAAGAAAAAAAAACGTTCAAACTGTGACTAACAAGCCCTTAACTACACACTTAAAATAATCTTAATCAAGATGAATTTATTAACAAACTTTGGTGGATAGTTACATTATATTCTTAACTAGAAAAAACTAAGTTGTTCATAATAGTAAGTCACACCTTCGGAGCCATTGGTGCCAACCAGATTTTTTGTTGGCAATGCATCTTAGCCTGAAAAAAAAATTGTATAAAACTCGTGATTATTACCTCACTAAGAATTACCGCTCTGCCGCATTTTTCTGCATTTTCGTCACTAGCACACCAAAAACCGGGCCCCCATGTGCATCTATCCGCCCCCAACAAGGTTGTGTGACTCGGCCGTGCAGGGCTGCTAGCACACAGGGCGATCTCTCTACACACTAACCCTTTGTCCGCCAAATGGGTCACCAAATTGTAGATGGTTTTGCCGTATTTTTCAATGATCTCAGTGCACTACGAGCGAATTTTATATTAATTAAGTTGTATGCCTCGAATGAAAATGCCCTCGGTTCACTTCGGTCGCCTCTGGCGTTACCTACATTCTCATTAAAATAGTTACCTTTGTTTGTTCTTTGCGGGGTAAAGCACGGCATGCTTTTTCAAGGACGTGGTCAATGCTGTGATCAATTTTCGGATTGTTCAAGATTTTCTCCATTGCGTAAACCAAACTTTCGCAAATGGCACATTCAAAAATTTCAACTGGAAATAAATTATAAAAAAAAACACATGAAATGAAATGAAATCTTGCAATTATAATGGATTCGGAATTATTATGTCAACTTGATTGTAAAGAGATCTTATATTGCATTAAAAATGTTAGATTCCAATTATCACATTTTAAATTTTAAACTTCGAAAAAAACTATGCGAGTCATTGGTGCTTTGCAACCATAATTATGGTCTCATCATTTATTATTCATGTTTAGATTATCAATCTAAATATAAATTACAAAAAAACAAGATTCGTGTTCTCGTTTTATTACAAATTAAGAAAATTTGACCATGTATCCCAAAAAATAAAAGAACTTGGTTGGCTGCCGGTAGACCAAATATACAATTATTTTTTATCAGTGTTCGTATACAGGTTGCATTATAAAAAACGCCCCAAGCCATAACTCCATTATTTTTAAAGTTATGACAATACTTCTTAGAACAAAGTTGAACAATTTTTGTCATCTATCGTTTAGGATAGATGCTAAATTAATGCTGTTTTCTGTTTTGCCGGAAATCACATCACTTTTATTTTTTTTTAATGAAACACCCTGTATATTTTACCACTTTTGGATTCTTTGTTTAATTGTCTTTTAACAAGTTTTAGTACCATATGCCTAAAACTAACCGTTCGTGAGATATTCACCAAATAACGTATTTATTAAAGTAAGCAGTGGAAAATAATAATATCAAGTAATGTTGATAAATATTAATCCTTTGCATTTTCTCTTACCGCTTTTATACTTTTTAATGTTAATCATGGATGATAAAGTGTTAACAGACATATTTTGAATAAAATAAAAATTGTGAGAGAGCACTACGCTTTTACACTGGGTGATTTCTGATGAGAGAAGTTCCAAATCGTCGAAAATTTAAGCGACTTAAAGAAAATTTGAGGATGTTTTGGGCTTTTAGAAAACCCAAATTAAAACATCTCCAATTTCAAAGAGATACAGAATTAGATAGGTATTGAAGAAAATGCAAGAACATGAATTCAAGAAATTGCAAGTAACGTTGGCTTATCGCACGCAACTGTTCGAATTTGGGTTTTCTAAAAACCCCAAACATCCTCAATTTTTTTCAGGTCGACGAATTGGAACTTCTCTTATTGAAAACCGCCCAGTGTAAAGGCGTTGTGGTCTCCAACTATTTTTATTGCTTTCAAAATATTCTTGAATCATGTCTGTTAACACATTATCACCAGAACACCAAATAGTATAAAAATAATAAGAGAAAATGCAAAGTAATAATATTTGTCAACACTACTTAATATTATTGTTTTTCACTGCCTACTTTAATAAATTTTTAATTGACTCATATCTCACGAACGGTTGGTTTTAGGCACATGGTACTAAAACTTGTTAAAAGACAATTAAACAAAGAATCCAAAAGTGGTAAAATATACAGGGTGTTCCATTAAAAAAAATAAAGTTGATGTGATTTCCGGTGAAACAGAAAACAGCATTAATTTAGCATCTATCCCAAACGATAAATGACAAAAAATATTCAACTTTGTTCTAAGAAGTATTGTCATAACTTTAAAAATTATGGAGTTATGGCTTGGGGCGTTTTTCATAATACAGCCTGTATAAAATGTTTATTACTGCTTCACCACCCTATCTCCGTGAATGATTTCATTCGAGAAAAAGTTGTCATCAAGTTTCTGTTCGTAATATTGCTGACCTGTCATTACCAAAGTTTAAAAAAGCAATATTTAAAAGATCTCTCTCTTACAATACAATAAAGTTATATAATTCTTCTCATTTGTTTAAAGAAAAACTTTCAGTGAACAATTTTCGCAAAATGATAAAAATACAATTTTCGAATTTCTAGTTTTTTACTTTTGCTTTTTGTTATTTTCTTATTGTTTTAATTCCTGTTATACTTAAGTAGTTTTTCTTAATTTTAGTTAAACTGTAATACAATTTTTCACCTTCCGAGTTGTATTTACTTGTACTTACAATTCAATAAAGCCGCTTTATTATTATTATTATTATTACCTTTCGCTTGTTCGATTTGGTTATTATCACACATGTGCATCATGCGACAGATTTCGTTTGGAACCGTTGCTTCAATCAATAATTGGATAATAGTATCAGCATATTCATTCACAAAATCGTTGCATTCTTTGCTAATTGACTTGGGCATGATATTACAAATGTTATGGACTGTCCTTTTGATGGCTTCCTGAAATAAATTTTGCTTCATTTTCCCTAAAATAATCAAAAAACCTACTTCAGTCGAGTTGTCTTTCAACTCGTCTTGAATCTCCTTCATGACAAATTCGCACAGGACGCATCTTGGATTATTTGACGAAATTTGGACACTTTTCCCATTTATCGTATCATCGGCTATCATATTAGTGGCTACAAAAAACAGTTAGGCCAATTTAACAACCCAAAAAAACCTACAAGTGTCTCCCCCGACAAACCCACTTGGTGGCTTATTATCAGAGCAAAGCTTAAGATAAACACAAACTTCTTGCGGATTTAAATCAGCGATAAGCAACTGGACGAGTTCATCAGTGTAGGTGTTGACAAAATCGTTACACTCCGCGGCGACATCTTTCGGAAGATGATCACACAGCTTGTTGAGTGCTTCCTTGATGTTTTGCTACCCACAAAAATACAATTCAAGTACACAATTTATTCAGTCAAGCAAATAAATTACATTAAAATTTAAATCGCATTCTCTTTCTGTACCGTTTCCGCCGTCTTACCTCAGTTTTTTTGTCTTTCACCATTTCTTCGAGCTTGGAGACGGCAAAAAGACACAGAGGACACTTCGACCCATCACTGCCTTGTTGCATAAACACCTCCACGTCTTTAGTGTTGCTCGGACAAGCTTTAATCAAGGGACAAACCTGCGAGGGGTCGATTTCTTGGGCCAAAATCGCCACCAAAGCCGGCTCGTAAGTATCAACAAACTCAACACATGTACTGTTGATACTACGAGGTAATTTCCTGCATGCTTTATCAATAACTTCCTTGATCTCCTCCTCTGTTGCAGGACTCGTTATGGCTTGTTGCAAATAATGCAAGAAATATTCACAAAAGACGCAAGTTTGCGAATTGTACAATTCTTGAGTGTGAGGAGGCATCATGCGCTCTATCGGTAATTGCATGTCTTCAGGTCGCAACACAGGGGCTGGTGTAATTTCTACAGTCTCCACGGGTAAAAGAGGCATGATTGGGGGCACCTGTTGAGTGTGATTTCGTGGGCAAATACCAGCAAGGACACAAACTGCGTTAGCATTCAATTCCGAGACTAGGAAATTATAAAATGCACTGTAATACTCGTCGACTAGACTAAGACATTGTGCTTTGAACGATTTTGTTTGTTTGCAAAGTCCTTCAAGGACTCTTTTAAACTCGTCTTCGGTTGTGTTAGCCACTAGTAAATCTCTCAAATGTGTTACTAATTGCTCACAAAATTCGCACGGTAAATCGTCTTTTTGTTTTCTAAAATAGTAAAAAAAAAGTTTGAGTGGTAACAACAAGTGGTGATTTTACCCCCCAATTTGCACATAACCAATATGTGACATTGGTGTTATTTCAACATTCGCATGAGTGTGAAACTTTGAACTACACTCTCCTGTCATTAAACAAAACTCATTCCGATTCAAATTGTCTTTCAAGTGGTTGTAAATCTCGTTAAAATATGTTATCATGATGTTACTGCAACCGTCTGATAAACTCCCAGTTTGTCCACAAATCTAATAAAAAAAGTTTAAATGAAAATTTTTTAAGTAAAATCAAATACCTGCAAGAAACTTTGCAAAACATCATCGCGTGACATTTTATTAAACTTTTCCTCCATTATTCCAACAACAGTGCGACAACCCTCACAAGTCCCCCCATTTTGGGGTAAGTCTCCTTTTTCCCCAGCTATTAATTTCTGGACTTTTTCACTATTACACAATCCTGCCACTGAACACACAACTTGTGGGTTCATTTCCGAAGCCAAAGTATCGATCAATTCGGGGATATATTGATCGGCGATTTTGTCACACTCTTTAACGATTTCTTTAAAGTGCAAGAGATGACACGAACCTTCAAACACTTCTTTGATCAATTCCTGCATAAAACAACAATTAATTTCATTGATAATAAATTGTAAATTGATCGTACTTGAGTTTCGTTACTTTCAAGTTGGTCTCTTGCCTGTTTCACCATATCGAGACATGTTTGACAGATGCTGCTACGATCTGGGGGCAACTGTTTGTGCACCCACACTGTCTGAATGCAGTGGCGTACGGCGCGACAATTGGAGGCCGCGCTACAAAACATAATTTTTTATTAAAATAAATTTAAAAAAAATTGTGAGAAAATTGTACAAACATTACATAATTTGCGGTAAATTGTGTTGTTACAATCTAAGAAACGGTGAAGATGACACTATGAACATGATAGCCGTAGGGTTTCAATTATTTTCTACACGCTTCAGATAAAACGACAGTAAAATTACAAGGATATTCGATATTGTCTTACTCGGTGTTTAATTTTAACGACTTACCAGTGTTTTTTACATTTTCCAGCAAGAAACAGAATTATTGTACAAAATTTCGTTAAAAAGAAGCCAAAAATTCAATTAAAAAAAAAACAAAAAAAGTGTTTACGCAAGTTTTTGAGATAAAAATAAAAAAATCGAAAAAAAAAATTTTCCTTAAACCAGCTAAAACATTACATAATTAAATCGAAATTGATATTTTTTCAAATTTGTTTCGTTCGACTTATTTTGTTTTTGAACCAGAAACTCATTTAGAGTAAAGAGCAACACTTCACTTACCAGTGTTTTATAAAAAAAAAAATGTAACTACGGCGGTTACATAAAAAATTAATATACTGATTTTTCAATTAGTGATATAGTAAACTAAAAACTTGATTAATTAGCCAAATTGTTAAATAAAACGATATTTTACTAAACAAAGTCGAAAATAGCATACTTTTTTACATTTTTTAGCTAGAAACAAAATCATTGTACAAAATTTCGTAAAAACAAGCCAAAAATTCAATAAAAT